TTAGGCTGGCTGTTCACCAGCTGAAGAATGGCCCTTCTAAGGTTTGACGCTGGTGTAAAATCTAATGGTTCCCAGGTTGTTTGTTTCTCTTGTTTGATGTTTGTTTGGGTGTTTCAGTGAGCATTCTTTTTGACTATACTGCCAGTATAGCTGTAAGAAGAAACCTTGGCTGCTGATTCACATAGGTCCCTGGGAAGGTTCCCTATAGTTAGACTCTGAGTTCCATGACATCAGGGACCTTGTCTCCCTTGTTCACCATGCATCTCTGGCATCTAGTCTAATGCCTGGCACACAGTAGATGCTCAAAACTTGCTGAATGCATGAAAGAATGAATGTTGGAGTAAAAGCTCAAGCAAACAAAAATTAGAAGTCTATAAAGTAATTTCAGTTTTTTATGCTAGGATCATATGAGGGAGACACCCAAAATGCTTCCTATCACACTGTGGACATGGTAGCCAGATATGTCATGCTTCACCTAATCTATGGTAAGACCTGGGGAGATGAAGGATAGGATAACTTTTGTGGAATGATGTTTTTTATTTCCAAGGATGTTTTAAATATGGTCATCACAAAATTGGTCATGGTTTTAGTTGTATGAATCACATGAAAGTCTGTGGGAGTCAGCTGAGCAGACAGCCAAAGAAGGTAACACTCTTCTCATCATTTACTTGTAAAAGCTAAGGTTTAAATTCAAAAAAGAAAATCCAGAATAATACTTTAAAAAACTCATCCTTACATAAAAACAGTATATAGGCTCTGGTTTTCCTATAGTCCTTGGGACAGAATTCAGAAAATATGGACAACCCTCCCATCAGAAAAAGCAGCAGGTAGATATCTTCCAAACTAGAGATTTCTTTCCTGTAAATCAGATATAGAATGTTAATGTTAGCTCAGTATTCTATATTTACATTACTGTAAACTAAATTTTAAAGGGTTTCTGTGTCTCTAATTAGAGGCATTTATAGAAGTATGTCCAAAAAAATTAAAGTTCACTGCAGAGATAAAAAAGAACAGGCTGTCTTCAGTTTGGAAAACATGGCTCAACTGAATTTAAATATTTATCATATAATTTTTATATCAAAGTCTTAATGAGCAATAACTTTCATTGCATCACTTCTGGAAACAATAAGAAAATACATTTTGGAATGCTAATTCTAGTTGGATTTCCATCACAGGCAACATTTAAGTAACAGTGGAGTTCATGAAAAATAATGGCACATTCCATTTAAACTTAAAATTTCAAACACCTGCCATCAAAGAAGCAAAGAGTATAGTCTGGAGCCAGAGATTTCAGACTTTTCTCTACCTCAGAGACTCAAAGCCCCCTAAGCAGGTGTTCTTTTCTAATCCAAAGAATAAGAAATGTTTGAGAAAATCCTCTTTCATAATTCCCCCAAGAGCACACAAAGAAAAAATGTTAAGCTTCCATTTCAAATGTTAGGGATTTGGATTGAGTTTAAACAACATCTTGTGAAAAATGTCATAGCTCCAATCCTCTCATGCTGAGATGATGGGCACTGATGCAATAGAAGGATGTCTTTGGACATTCTGAATGCAGGGCTGGAAAGGCAACGGTACCTGACGTCAGCCAACCACCTGCAGAGTTACCCAGTTGGGTGGAGAGAAAAATTAGGTGATACTTTGAATTCTGCAAATTCAAAGCGACATGGGGAATGAGACAACTATTTACACAGTCACACTAACCAGTAATACATTTTTTTATATCATTAATGTACAATTACTAACCAGTAATATTAACACCTCCTGTATTGCTCTTAAATATTCAATAAGTCAAACAAGATTCTGCATTCAAGTTACTTGGGAAATATCTCATTCCCCACTTCATTTGGAATATGTCCAGTCCTAGGGACATCTTGCAGATAAAACTGCAGGCTGTATCCTGTGTAACTAAAATTAACATTACAATTTATCAGTTCACACATGTATGTGCTTTACATTAAACTGGAAACTTATTAAAAGTTCTTTAATACTCATTTCAAATGTTGTACACAGGTATATTCTAGAATATTCATTCAGCTGTGATCTCATATAACACCCTGTATTCTTCATCTAAGTATTACTGGCTTATTTTCTGAGTGAATAAAGGTCCCTTTGTAAATAGCTATAGTCTTCCTTCTATGGTCTGTGGTTTTTAACTTGCACTAATACTATTAGTTTTTCCTCTTAACCCCTATCTACCCAGGTAGAAGTTTCTCAGTCCAAGGATCATAAGATTGCTTATGAATTTCAAGGAGGGAAATAAAAGAAAGTTACAGTTTGATAGCTATATGGATAAAACATCCCATCTCACTTAGAAATGACTGCAAAATTCACACATTCTGAGAATAAAATCAGATGTGGAAATGGCAGTGTGAAATTTGTCCAGTGCAGTACTATGATCATTTGGCATCACTGGTGTACATAGAATTTAACTCGGAGGTAAACAGATTCAAGAAGATCCAGGAATTGTATACATCTTCAGTTTCATTAACCTCAAAATCAAATTTAGCTTTTCTTTTAATTAAAATGTAGACCACCAACTACAGTACCTGTGATGTTGTTGCCAAGAGAAATCACAAATATTCTCTCACCACATTATAGTCATTTTAGATATCTCAAATATATCTTTTATGCTTGTCACTACTTCAGAATTATGGTAGCTACACCTGCCACTGGCTTATATTATTTAATAATGAATTCTTAATAAAGTACATATCCCAATTTTAGAAGATTTGGTTAATGTATTTCACTAAAAGTGGCTCTCTTTGTCATCCTGCATACTTTATCTTACACATTTAAAAACATCATTGTGAGAAGAGTCTGTAGGCTTAACCAGGCAGACAAAGAGTTTCATGCCACCAAAAGGTTAAAACTCCTTGAAACTATACACAAAGCATTTTATAATACAATGGTCATGTTTGTAGACTAAATCATTCCTTGCTAGTATCTTCTGAAGCTGAAACAAACTTGACATTGAAATCAGGCTGATCTCATTGCTGTAAATAGATGATTCTGTGGAGAGTCATTTCTTTTTTCTTATTTTACCATACAAAAAAACTTGTAGATTCTAGAGCATTGCTTCTACCATAGCATAAGTTGTTTATGTCTAATGATAAACTTTACCATTGCCATTTTGCTGTCAGCACTGAATTATATTCTTGTATTTCAAACCAATGAAATCCATTTTATTTTATAAGGTCATTGAATAAATCATTTTAAAACTTTAATTCAAATCATAAAGAGAATATTAAGAAAATATTTGCTATCTGGAAAAACTGTAATGACAATTCCTTATTTTGAGTAGAAAAAGTAAACAACAAAATCCTTCATCAAAAATAGTGCTTTTAAATGACAGTGTTATTGGTCCTGTCCACGCTTATTTGAAATGTAAATCAATTAACATATCCTTAGGGTGTTAAGCATATGGCCTCTGAGTTATTATAATTATGAAATAAATTAAATGATGGGATGATACCTCAGTAGATGTGCCCTGAGTGTAAGTACATTAGACTTTTTGGAAAATCCTCTATGGAGTCTCTGACTCCAAATGGACATATCAAATGCCAACAAGTTAAATGAATATTCACTTACTGAAAGAAAGCCTTGGTAAATTCATGCCACCATGATTCACTTATCACTGAAGCTAAATACTCTTCCAAATTCTTATCTCCAAGAGTAAATTAAATGTGATCAGTATTTCAAAACTAATAAAGAATATAAAAAATAAGACCAATATATTCTTACATTAAATTGAGATATAATTCACCCATCATAAAATATATATTCTTCATAAATGTTTAAACCATTATTTTCTATTCATAAAAATAGTAGGTATATTACATGTGCTATTGTAAAACTTGCCTCTTATTCCCTGTTAAATCAGTGAGATTTAGAAATCTAGTTATATGTGCAGGTTCTGATTAACTTTAATACCAGAGGTTTTCTTTGAATTACAAGCTACGAAACAATCAAACCTATGTGCAATGATAGAAAATCCAAAATTAAACTTGGGAAGGAAATGAAGTACAACAATCCAAATAAAACAATTTGCATTGCATGGTGTTATATGGAAAAAGAAATAAAAAGCCTTATTAGTCACAGTTATCAAATTATTCATCAAGGTCTGGAACACATATTTAGTGACTGTTTTTATCTGTGTTTGAATTAAAGTGGACCAACCAAGGATAATTTAGTTTTAGGGCTATTTTTTCTTCTGTAAGTAATTATTTCAATGTTTAAAATATTAAAACAGCTTACATGACTCCTTAGTGAAGACCATCCAATGTCATTCTCTTCAGAGCTGAATTTTTAGAGGAAGATAATGAAAATATGCGCTTAACTCTAACAACCAAAAAGCTACTGCATGCAAACATGACAGAGGTTCCACCCCAACTTCCTTGGCATAGTCCAGATTATTTTTCCCTAAACAGGAAGCTGTTGACAGTTTTCCCTGGTATTTTCAGAATACTCTATTTACAAGAAAAATCCCAACTTTTGTTTCAAAGTATAATGTTCTTTCCCACTAAGCCTATTGTTGCTAACTATGAATGCTGCAAACAAGATAGAAACCAAATTCCAAACTATTCTAGGCTGATTCAGAATAGGCAAGGATTTGAGGGGAAAAAAAAAAAGCTAAGTTAGCAACATATTGTGAGGCTATGCTGGAGTCTTTAAATCCCAAACAATACTGAAAGGAGGATTCCTGGAATTCAACAGGGAATATTGGCTCAAGCTGCAAAATCCGTCTTTAAATAATGTCATGTTAGCAAATATTGAGCAAGAAAGGCGATTATATTTTAACCTACTTCACAGACCATTAATCCAAATTTAACCAAATTCCAGAGACTCTGCTCAAAATTAGCAATTAGAAGCTGCTTCATATTTTTCCCCTGGTACAACAGTAATTGCTCCTGAAGACAAACTTATAGTGGGTAGAGAGAGGAGAAAACCACAATGATCTATAAAACATCTAACTATTGTACAAAAAGCAAACTAATTACCTCACACAGAAGAAGTGCAAGATTTAACAGTCCATGCTCTGCCACTGGGAAGCAGCCGGCGGCGCTACGAGCAGCAGCAACGGGCGGTGGCCGCAGCCAGCAGCCACCAGATTCTCACAGGCCTTTGACTGTGTGGACTCAGCCACAGACCCTGCCTCCAGCTGACGTCAAAGTCCCTGTCACATGGCCAGATGAAAGGCAAGAGAGCATTGGTTGTCGTAGCAACCACAGAACAGCTCTGAAATTATTTCAATAGGTCATTTGTCACTGTAGTGTGTGCGTGTGAGTGTGTGTGTGTGCACACACACCCACAACCATCACACACAGCTCCCGACAACCTCAGCCCTGGAAGTTGTGACTCAAAAGTGCCTTCAACTTTCCTCTTTAAGGCTTCGGTGCCTGTTCTTTACAGCTACTTGCAGGGAAATGCATGTCACTCTGAAGTTCCCATTGGTCTGGTTATATCACCAGCAGGAAGCCTGTGTCTCTCTCTGTAGAAGAGAAGGAAAGAAACAGAAAATTGCTGGGGGTAGTTTCTGTGCTAATTAAGTCTATTTGTAAGCAAATGGATAAAAACAGAAGCTCAAGGGGTGTTGGAAGAAAAGATATTTTACAAACTGCATGAGAATTCACGTCCTCAATGAACTGAGACCAATGTAGTGGTGGAAAGGTAAACAAGAAACACAGGGGGTGATGGCCCAAAGTCAGAGGAGAGAAGCTAATGACCTTAACACCACTTAGGAGGGGGAAATCAAGTGAGACAGACTCAGAACTCCTGCATTGTAAAATGTCTATGCAAGAAGGATAAGCAAGAGAGTTTCAAAACAGCGCTACTTTAAAACAACCTTGTCGGCATGTTTAAATTTGGGAAGGGTGTCTTTTCTTTGGGGTCATCGTACAAGTACCAGATCCTCCCTGTCCTAAATACTCTCATCCACATCCCTTTGGGGATTAGTATAGAGTAAGTGGGTGAGTGTCCCATGAACACAAGTTAAGTGGAAGCCCAGTGCAGCAGAATAAAAGGAGAATCCTGCAGCTTTATTTCTAATTCCAGCTTTATTTCCTTTAGGACCACAGTCACTTATTTCTAACACAAGACATGTGCTTATTTTTTAGTTCATCCTCCCTCTTAATTAAGAGGAAGCCAATTAAACAAAATGAAATGAAACCCACAGGAAGGTGCTTTGAATAACACCTTCATAAAATGTATACTCACTCAAAGGACAAAGGGATGATATGGATATAAAGGGAAGCTAAGCTGTCCAGGCAGATTACACTGGTGTCCCTCTAAAAGAACGAAATTTCTCCAGTCAGAAACTGCTTATTGAACAATAAGACTAATATCCAAACTGTTTGGCCATGGAATCCTCCTATTCCATCTTCTTCTCCTTTACTGCTGTCCCAGCCCCAACTGTGAGAAAAGATATATTTTTATTTGAAAAATTATTTTCCTGATGCTATTAGCCGTAGCTTTGCAGAAGTAAAAATCAAACTGTAATACTATAATGAAATTCCCCTTAACTTTCAGATTAATGACAGCTGAGAATTCATCTGTTTGCACAAGGACAATTGGTTTATTGAATCCAATGTCTATCTAAATGGGTCAGGATGTCTTACCAGCAACAGCCCCAGTTCACAAATTTGCTATTTGTTCCAGCTGTCGTTCTGGTTTTCTGTTCAGAAATGCACATTATAATAATGAGAGGAATGGGAGAGAGGAGCGAGATCCTTTCAGATGTCCAGACTTCCAGGGCCCCCGTGTTCTCTGAACTGCCTGCTTTAGCATCTCTCTTACTCCAAATCCACGGCTGCCTGAACTACTCTTCGTCTTGCGGCAGCTTCAGCATCTAACAGCAAAACTGCAGTACTACACTTTGCCAATAGGTGATGTCCTGTGAAACAAGTTCTCGGTTATAAAAATTCCAAAAATTCAGGGCTTTAGTTTGAAATTCAGTGAAACTTAACATCTTTTCATTTTGAATTTTCTATCATTTTAAGGCTAAGTATACTTTATACTGACTTGGGCCTAAACTAATCATAAGTTTATTATTATAAGTTATACATATAATATAATATAGCTTGTAATATATTATAAGCTAAAATAATCAGTGGACTGACCCTCAAAATGAAGAGTGGATGCTTATAATCCTTTTCTCTATAGCATGCTTCGAACCTGCTATCACTCATTTCCCTTTACAAACTGCCTAGGACTCGAGGATTCCTCCTATAGCTGAGGAGGCTGCCAGTCTCATGCAGGATTGTAATTGTGAGGATGGTCTCTTTGGAGCTCAGGTTTCAACCAATTTGACTAATTAACCCAAATATGGTTGAAAATATCATAGGAAATACACAAGGGCCATCACTAAGCACAGCCCATCATAATGCAGAGAATTTATAAAATTTTATTTTATAAATGACAATGCATTTTTTTGGTGAAAATGATTCACTGAATTAAAAAATACGCATTCAAAAATAGTACTACACCATAGTTTTCATTTGCTGTAGGAATGTCAAGGCTGCCTATTACTAATTTGACCGTTTCGCTGGAAATAACTGGTAAATGCCACTAAATAAGCAGTCTAACTTGGGTCCACACACTTGTTAATAGGTGGTTTGGACTGTGAGTAGACAACTAGGATCGGTCTTTTATTTGATGCTTTTAAGTAGAAATATTGCTGTCTCCCTGTCTTAACATTAGTGGGAAGGCCATGGGCCTATTTTTTGTAGGCATTGGGTTCAAATCTCATCTGAACTAATTACTAAATAGCAACTAGTTCAGATGTGCTTATGTCCTAACAGTGTTGTGAGGTTATAAAGTTAATGTATTCTAACATTCTGACACTCACATGGCTCAGCGTGTGTATTGCTCATTGTTTCTGACTCCGATAAAACTACAAAGACTTCAGGGAAAGGACAGTGTCTTGCCAATGGGTTTCCGCCCCAGACAAGTTCACTATGGATTAAATGAGACCAAAGAAATGACAGTGGAACCTTCTTGGGGTGAAAGGGTTTATATCCAACTTTATTCCCACAGTGACAGGTCAATCACTAGAATCCCATCCACTCAGAGTGAGTCTGCATGCAGCAGGCTGGTCTCTGCCTCTGAGCCTCTCTGCCCCCACAGCCATTTCAGTCTCTGTCCTCGGTGCTGCCACCACTCCAGCCTCTGCTCTCCTGCAGACTTGCAGCCATGCCACCGTGTTGCCAAGAGCACTGGGCGGAGCTCTTTTTATAAAGACAGTAATGATGTATTGCCCACCCGTGTGTAGTGAGCTAGCCAACCAGGGCAAGGTGAGAATGCTGGACATAGGAACCTTCACTTTATCCACAGACAAAATCTTAAGTCTTTTCTATAACTCTATGGATAGCACAGGACCTAGAACACAATGAGTACTCAGTAAACGTGAGTGATTCAGCTTGGGAAATAAATGTTGAGCAATAGAAAGAAATGGTTCTTTTTCCTTCCCACTCACAGAGAAAAGGCAGCTTCCTCTCAAACTCCAAAAAAGGCAAAGGAAGAAAAAAGAAAAACAAAATGCTGAGTTGTCACAAAATTTTCTAGCAATGAATGGGTCCCAGTAACTTTACCAAGTAAATCAAACTTATTGCTACTAATCATAAATATTTTTATGAGTGTACATAAGTTATATATTGATGCATTTTATGGCTATCGCTGTTGATTTTGGCTAATCTTTTACATTAACTGACATTAACTGAGCACTTCCCATATGTGGAACATTGCTGTAAGTGCTGTAAATATATTAGATCATTTATTGTAATAGCCCTATGAAGCAGGTATTATTCTTTTACACATTTCACAGCTGAAGATAAGCACAGAGAGATTAAATAACCTGCCTACCTAGTATATGGCAGAGCCAGAATCTATACCCTGGAAGCCTGGCATAATAAATTTTTGGAAATAATTTACGTTTTATATATTTTTAGAAAGAATTATTTCTTATGTTTATTTATTTATTTTGTTTGAGAGGGCATCTCTCATATTTATTGATCAAATGGTTGTTAACAACAATAAAATTCAGTATAGGGGGGGTCAATGCTCAATGATGTGCTTATTTTTTAGTTCATCCTCCCTCTTAATTAAGAGGAAGCCAATTAAACAAAATGAAATGAAACCCACAGGAAGGTGCTTTGAATAACACCTTCATAAAATGTATACTCACTCAAAGGACAAAGGGATGATATGGATATAAAGGGAAGCTAAGCTGTCCAGGCAGATTACACTGGTGTCCCTCTAAAAGAACGAAATTTCTCCAGTCAGAAACTGCTTATTGAACAATAAGACTAATATCCAAACTGTTTGGCCATGGAATCCTCCTATTCCATCTTCTTCTCCTTTACTGCTGTCCCAGCCCCAACTGTGAGAAAAGATATATTTTTATTTGAAAAATTATTTTCCTGATGCTATTAGCCGTAGCTTTGCAGAAGTAAAAATCAAACTGTAATACTATAATGAAATTCCCCTTAACTTTCAGATTAATGACAGCTGAGAATTCACCTGTTTGCACAAGGACCATTGGTTTATTGAATCCAATGTCTATCTAAATGGGTCAGGATGTCTTACCAGCAACAGCCCCAGTTCACAAATTTGCTATTTGTTCCAGCTGTCGTTCTGGTTTTCTGTTCAGAAATGCACATTATAATAATGAGAGGAATGGGAGAGAGGAGCGAGATCCTTTCAGATGTCCAGACTTCCAGGGCCCCCGTGTTCTCTGAACTGCCTGCTTTAGCATCTCTCTTACTCCAAATCCACGGCTGCCTGAACTACTCTTCGTCTTGCGGCAGCTTCAGCATCTAACAGCAAAACTGCAGTACTACACTTTGCCAATAGGTGATGTCCTGTGAAACAAGTTCTCGGTTATAAAAATTCCAAAAATTCAGGGCTTTAGTTTGAAATTCAGTGAAACTTAACATCTTTTCATTTTGAATTTTCTATCATTTTAAGGCTAAGTATACTTTATACTGACTTGGGCCTAAACTAATCATAAGTTTATTATTATAAGTTATACATATAATATAATATAGCTTGTAATATATTATAAGCTAAAATAATCAGTGGACTGACCCTCAAAATGAAGAGTGGATGCTTATAATCCTTTTCTCTATAGCATGCTTCGAACCTGCTATCACT